ACAGAGAAGATGTATTAATTATATATACACAGTGTGTACATTGATCAAAGACAAAAAAGAATTGGATACACCAGATTAACCATTGTTCGATTCCAAACCTTAAACTCAATTGAAGAAAAGTAAGTGGCAGCCTTAGATACTGACGTGCACATATGATAATGTGGGGCCCATGTGCTGTAAACACACAGCCGTGTTAAAGCTTTTCTTCGCATGAAAGAGGCCGTGACGACGTGGGGGAGGGGTTTCTCTGAATGAATCCTGCGTGCCTACAGGCCCCAAAGTGTCAGTCACTCTGTATCTTCACACACGGAAACAATGCTGCAGCCTTTCTACCCACCTCCTCATTGGTGAAATATATCATACAGTGTCATATTAATGTTATTACATCTATATCTGCTACTTTTTCTTGGTTTTTGTCGTACATGAGGGCTCGTGCTGGATTACAATCAGCGCCTTTTTTGTTTGTTTCTGACTTTCCCTCTTTTGCTCTTAAATGATCCATTTGGAAGACATGTAGCAAATGTATTAGTGTAGAAAAGTTTCTATGACAAATTAACAAAAGATGTTGCTGAATGGATTTGTAAAGTCATGACAAAATAAATGTGTATAGAAGGAGCTGTGCAGGAATATGGTGTTCATTCACTGATTACTGTGCGTGTGTGCATGCGCGTGTGTGTGTGTGCGTGTTGACAAAAGAGAGCATGTGAATGGCAGAGACGGGGAATAGCAGTGGTGACGTACATTGCCCTACACATAGTTGGAAATGTGGTTTCCATGGCAGTGGAGTCGTTATAGTAGAACATGTTCACGCAAGAAATGAAGACTGAGAAAACGGCTGCCATTTTGAAAGACAGAGATGGCATCTTCCAATAAACTGCTCGGGTTGTGTTGTCAAACCGTTTTTTTTTTTTTTTCTGACACACACTGACAAGGGAACAATAACTGCTTCATTATTATTCATCTAGTCTGCAGCACACTCAGTCATTAAACACTGTTCTGAAGCTGCTCAGATGTTACGCTGTCGGAGAACATTCGTTATGTTCAATTAAGTATTCTGATCGAAGAAGAAGATGCATTCTTTTCCCACTGTTATTGTTTTAAGAGACTTTCAGTTTCTCAGTATGAAACAGTGGCGACTTGTGTGAATTAATAAACAAAAAAAAGGTAGTTGATCAAGGATGCCATCTTTTTTCTTTAACGCTTGTGGTTGTTTTTGTTTCTTGTATTAGATGAGGGAAGGTGCAATGGATAGAGTAGGAAATCAGGAGAGAGCGTGTGGAATGACATGCTGGAAAGGACCCAGAGGTCGGACTTGAACCTTGGCCACCTGCTTAGAGGACTATAACCTCTGTATGTGCGGCTGACCCAACTGCTAGGCCATCATCGCCCCCTAGCCAATGATCTAAAAAAAATAAATCATTTAAATGATTTTACCTATTGTTGGTTTTTTTTAAAAGTATTTTGAATCTAATTTGTCTTTTTGTCATCCTTGTACGAGAACAATGTCATTCTTCTCCAATTACTTACGACCACCTGGATCACCACCACTTCCATATGCACAATTCTATTTTCATGCTTATTCAAAATTAATTGGGTTTCTGTAACATCACCCAGCTGGTGTTGCATAATTACGTTTGTGTGGACAGTGATTCAGGTGTCTCTTTCTCTTTGTACTCAAAACTATATACTGTAGATCAAATTACAAGCCTTGATTTGGCAAGTTTGTCTTTTTCCTTAGCATGCTTCCCCATGTGAAATGGTTAATGATCACTCATTGTCTCCTTTTCATTGACAAATCAGGCTGGGGGCGACGGATAGCCTAATGGCTACGTCATGCGGCCCGTGCTCGGAGGCCTTAGTCCCTGTCGCAACGGCCGAGGGTTCAAATCCAACCTCAGTCCTCTGCTGCCTGTCTTCCCTCTCTCTCCTCCCAACACTTCACATCTTTCTTCAGCTGTCCTATCTAATAAAGGCAAAAAAAAGCCCAACAAATAACTTATTACAGCTTCTTGTCTGTTTCAACTTAATAAAGAGCATTTACTTCTGTTGTAATTAACATAATCTGAGAATGTTTTTATTGGAATAACAAATCAGTAACAGACATAAAGTTGTGTTTCTGTGTGTTATGTGAAAACTAATCATCAAGTTGAATACAAAAAACTCAAGAAAAGCAGCAATGTTTAGTTATGAATCAACATTTATTAGTTATATTTGTATATGTACACCAAAGGTACAACACTTATTGATATGTAGAAACAGATTTATTTTTATGTATACCATAGACCGAGGAAAGTATTCATATATTTTTTTGTCTTTTTTTTTCTCGATAGTGTATCTCCCGCACACATACGCTCTGCCTTTACATCAAAATTACAACAGCTTTACAAAGAGGGAAGGCCTAGAAAAGTAAGATCAGGAAAGCACGTCGTAGGCAGGAGTGAGACAGGTTACCAGCTCTGTTTAGGAAGTTTCTTCAACAACAACAAAAAAAAAAAGACACATTTCAGTAGAAAAGGACAAGCTCAAAGATACACTGGCTCTTTGTTGTAATACTGTGTCGAACATTTTCCGTTCAATCGGGACCATTTAGCTTGGCTAGTTTTGTGCATACATTTTTCAGTGTAAAAATCAAAAAAAGGCAAGTAGAGTAAAAGGCAGTTTACTGAGTGGGATTATTAAAAAATACTCCATGATATGGATGACAGGTGTGTGAAGATGCAGAATCTAAATGATTCAGATATCCAGGTGTTGCAGCTTTAAATGCATGTGCACCAGGTGAATAAAGATGCCTTAGACTAAAGCCAAAGTTTTCTCCTTCGAAAAGACAAAATGGTTCTGATGAGTCAACCTGAGGAATACTTCTCTATACCGTCACAGGCATTTGAATCACATCTGATGTGTGTTCTTTCTCTCAAAGAATAGGCTGTGTTTTGATTTCTCACTCTATCCTACATACAGGGCATTTATGACCTTTCTTCCTTTATTTGTCTCTCTTTTCATCAACCGTCATCGCTGTTATTCCTGCCAAAATAACTTGTAATGTTGGCCCCCTCTATCAAACCATTAACTTCCCTTTGTTCTCTTGCTTTCTTTCTCGCTCTCTGTCATTCTCTTCCTCATGCATCAACAGCGTCTGCTTCAGGAACACTGTCATTTTTCCAGAAAATTTCTGCACCGCCACTGAACAGAACATTTATATATTTATTTATGTACAATGAAAATGAATGCACACTGCTTATATTTCCATGGAACAAACATTCAGAATGCTTACATTAGATTTAAAAAAAAAAAGAATATATTTATATATTGGTGTGTGACAGGTAAGTATAACAACTAGTTAACAGCTAGGAGAGAATAAAAAAAACAAGCAATTTTTAATACACAATTTCCTCTCTATACATTTTTGTCTACTCTAATCTTATTCAGGACATAGATGATATTTTTCTTCTAGAGGATTACATTAAAAATGTCACAGCAATGAACCTATAATCCTACATAGCATTTCAAGCCCCCAAAGGAAAAAGAAAATGGAACAAACAAACAAAAAAACATCTGTTACCTACAATATATACACAAAGTGCAAGTAGGCACTTCAAAATATCATGCTTTTAAGATAGTGGTGCAAAAAAATAATTGTACTTTTATTTTTTATTCATGCCTCTAAAACCGTGAGTTTCAACATAATACTGGTCCAACACTCAATCCCCATTGATGACACTGTATGGTCCTGAAGGTCAAAAGGTCAGACGCGTGGGGCCTGTTTGGGTGTCAGTGCTCTGCAGCTTGCAGAGTAGACATGTAGAGACCTTCAAGGTTCAAGGATGTTTGCATGTGTGTTTTTATATTAAATGTGTGTGTGCATTTGAAAATCAAACATGTGAGTGTGTGTGTGTGTGTGTGTGTGTGTGCATGCTTGTTTTCGTGTGAATCAGTGTGTGCAGCAGAACAGCATGCATGCTCTAGGTTGTATCAGAGCACAACCTCTGCTTAAATCAGTGAAAGTGAAAGACTGTGTGTTTCAGGAACTAGTAGGACTGGAGTGCTGCACTTAACATTTTCTTTAGATTCCTAAGTGTTACTTCAGTTGGCATTTGTTTTTGTTTTTTAGCGAACATCTCCAAGGCAAGGTTGAGAACACATTTAGCACAAATGAAAAGAAGCAAGACAGAAGAGAAGGTTACATTACTGACCAATCAAATCAGCATCCACATCCCTTTCACTCACACAGGCTTCAAAAGGTTAACAGCCAGTAGTCTGGCTTTTGTCTGTGTGTCTGCAGATCTTTTTAAGCCATTTGGTCCTATGAGAGGAAAAATACTGTTTATATGTTTACCTGATAATTGGGAACATTCTGGCATGTGAAATGTCCATAGTTCTGTATGGACATGCAGCTGCAGCATCTAGGGTTTGTAGAAACAGTCTTGAGCTCTGGTGGCTAAAATATATATTGTTAACTTTTATTTAAGGTCTGGCTAAACAAGAAGCTGGCAGGCCTCCCTGTAGAGTGTTATATCAATGATCTGTCTCCATCCATAACTGCACTGCATCTTCTTGTATCTCAGTTTCCCTTTTTCACATTTTCTTTGTTAGACATAACTGTGTCTGTGCTTTAAGATTGTAGTACATCACTACTGGAATGTTGCCTTAAATATGTCTGTGTGTGCTCTATGTATGTGCAAGGAAACGTTCCATCCCTGCATGTTAATGTATTATAAAATCGCAATCTTTTAACAAAGTCTTTTGCAGTAAACAATTTTAAAGTCAATGCTTTTCCGCGTTGTGCTTTTGGGGGGTGGGGGAATTTTCTCAAAGCTCTGGTGAACGAGTAAACATGTCAAGATGATAACTTTGTTTTATATCTCTGTAAAGTGTAAACATACAAGCCTGAGTATCTTTTTCTTACAAATAATGTGTTTTAAAAATCCATTTGGAATAAGATCAATATGAGCAATAATGCATGGCTTTGATGATGCCATTGACTGAAAAAAAAAGCTCCCTCAGTGGCTTTATTTGTGCTCTATTCTGTGTGTGCTCTATATAATCTCTTTTTGTGCTTCAATTTATTCAGATATGTCAATTATTAATTGTTCTTTTTTGGGGGGGGCTAATTTGATTTTCATTTCATTGGCATCACAAATTTTCAGTGCAGTGACTCTCTTTGCTTTAAGTTTTGGCTCCAGCGGAAAAATTGAACTGAACTGAAAAATGTGTTGCGAGTGACATCGCAGAGGCAGTTCAAAGGACTCTGCGAGTTGATTGATTTTCTGCCTGTTTGGTCCTTATCATTGACTTGGTCATGTTCTTAACCCCAGCTCTCTCTCTCTCACACACACACACACACACACACACACACACACACACACACACACACACACACACACACACACACACACACACACACACACACACACACACTCTATCTCTCTCAACAACATTGTCACACAAACAGGTGACACAAAGAAAAATAAAAGTCCCTTTTCTTTCCAGAACACAGACAAAAGAAAACAAAAAAAGGGGGGATAAAAATTAGCTCCATGGTTTGATTTGTGCTTTTTAATTCAGCCGTGACTGTGCTTTCATCAGTTTACTGGACCTCGGGGAAGTGGGTAATATTGTGAAAAAGCAGCCAGAAAAAGGCTTTGATAGTATAAGAAGCAAAAGAGATGTTATTGGATGAGACACCGAGCTGAGTAGGAAAATAAGCGGCTTTTCGACACATTGCGATGTTACTAACAGGGATGTGAAGCAGGAAGTTCAGTATGTCTGGTGACGTAAGTAATGCTCTAACTCCCACTCTTCTTCTGCCATTATAATAATGAATCACCTGTGTGAAATATAGGAAGAGGATCTAAGTGCATCCCGTGTTACACAGCCACTTCTTTTCCCATCTTATAACCAACATGTATTGCTAGAAACAGCTTATCTAACTTGTTTTTCTCTTCCTTCCCTCCCCAAGCCTTGAAGTATGTTGTGCAAGTATCTGCTATAATATAGGACTTAATTGTGCTCTAACAGGTCAACCTCTTTTATCACTTCACGGTTAAGTGAATTAGTGTTACATATCAGTCAGATAGACAGTTACAAAAATCTTTTTAAAGGGACTAATTTAAAAAAAGAAAGAAAACTAAACTACATAAAAAAAAACAATTAGTAGTTCTGTTCATGTGACTTGTTTTTTTTTTCCATTCACTTGTTTTTTTAATCATCAGGTAGGAAAGCTTGTGGAGCCCTGGAGCAGGGGGGATCTCTGTGCTGCCATTATTCATGTTTCCATGGTTCCTCCTCAACAAGCGTGCACTCCGCAGCAGAGCCGTTTGTGGCTGAGGTTACCTGTAAGACGTTAGCAGGGAGATCTAAACAGCTGATCCAAGGCACAGTCAAACAACATTTTCTTAAAGCATTCACAAATAAACTGTGCTATTTATTTAAGCATTTTTTTAACTGCAAATCCATGATACCATTAATGGCATTCTCTACAGTAATTCTGGATGTTTTAGCTATAGATTCTTTGGCAATTAAAACACAGCCTTTAAGCGATTGTGCAACATGCAAATAAAACTACAAAGGAAAACTGTAAGTCCTGTACGACCACAGATGATCATGCATATGGAAGAGTGGAGTCCCTTTACACTGACCTGGGAACAGACCACACAGGTTTAAGATGGACACAGACTCAAATAGCAGTTAAAAAAGAAAAGAAAACATGGATTAAATGATTAATAAATAGACAAAGTGCAAGGAAAACAAGGTACAACACTAAAGAATGAATGCAGAGTTACATTAAAGCTATTTATTAGCAGTCTATAATGGGTTGATCTTTGAAAAGGGGGGGTAGAGATGTGAGTGGGACTATTTACAAGATAAAGATACAACCAAACAGAAAGACATTAGTCATGGCTGATACTGGAAACAACAGCTTTTGTGTTACATTTATATGTAAATGTCACAATAAATGGTCGCTAAAAAAGGAGGACGTAACTTTTTACTACCAACTGATTACTTGTGTGAAAGGTTGCCAGCGTTGCTAGGCAACACCTTTCATTCTTTAATAAATGAAAAGGCTCATCATTAGACCTTTTCCGCCTGGGTGTGTGTGTGTGTGTGTGTGTGTGTGTGTGTGTGTGTGTGCGTGTGTGTGTGTGTTTCAGGGAACAAGCGCTCTGAACTTCCATATATTATTCTAAAAGCCTGGTTTTACATTCAGAGATTGGATTCAAAGAGCATTATGTTTAACATTATGGGAGCTATACTTCACAGCTTTAGGATTTCACAGCACAGCTTTCACAGAGGGTAGAAATAGATGGTGTCAAATCACACACACACACACACAAAAAAAACCTGACTGTGAATGACTCACAGACGGTGTGGTAGATGTGTGTATGTATGAAATACTAATTGTATGTATGAAATGCTAATTAGCCTTCCCTTACAGCCCTTTCAAACCTATAGGGAAAAGGCTGGCATTGGGAAATAAACATGCTAAACATGTAAAATGTTTTCAGAAACAACAGGGAAAAATACTCTATTGGGAATTTTTTTTTCTTTTTGGATCGAGGATGTGAACTTGTGATAGATGGGAGGGCTGCTAAATAATTCCTTAGGGTCATAATGAGGATTATCCGGCTCTTCCTTTTGAGTGAGAGCCAATCCCCAACACGTTACAGTGATTAGATTGGGCTAACTGAATTCCTAAAGCTGTGAGCGGATCTCTCATTTGCATGCACTACAAAGATGATCTATATATATATTTTTGGTCTTTTTTTGGCAAGAGCGCTTTCATTTTTTAAGATGTCTTCAACACAAAAGCTGCCATTCCAGAAGAACAAAAATGCATACGTGCACATGCATCTGTTGTTCTCTCGCTTCACTTCTGTAATAAAATAACTGTGTGTGTATTTACATGATTATGTACGAAGATATGATGAATAAAACAGAATCAAGCAAAGGTGCAGGGTGAGCATGCCACACTAGAGAGGGGTTATATACAAGTCTCTATGTCCGGAAGCATTAATTGTACCTTGCAATCATCTACTACGACAGAATTGTTAGCAGTGGCGGAAGCAGTTGTGGTAGCGGTATCGGTTAAGACGCACTGGTTGGAATTGTTTTCGTGATGGTTCTTCATGTCGTCGTAATAAGACTGGGTCTTCGTCATCATTTCAATGTCGTCTGATTTGGCGTGTGCGTCCAGCTCCTCCAGCTCCGCCTTGGACATGTGGTACACGATGCCTGCACCGTAGGAGTCACCCACCACGTTCACTGAGGTCCTGAATCGATCCCTAAGGGAGAGAAAAAAAGAGGATAAAAAGATGGTCTTACACACGTGCGTTCTGGAGACCGAAGAAGATAAGGGATATTCAATGTGTGTTGCTGTCTTGTCAAACTCACAGCAGCCAGTCAACAGCAACCAGCAGACTGATGTCCTGGGTTGGCAGGCCTACAGCAGTCAGGATCAAGAGCATAGTCACCAGGCCGGCACTGGGAATACTGGCAGCTCCAACACTGGCCAGAGTGGCAGTCAGACTAGAAGAAACACAGCAAAGCAGCCCTCAGTCACTCATCCACAACCCTCTCTGACACCAGCTGAAGCTACAGATGCAGACATTCAATCTCTATGGTACTTGTATAAAGAGCACCAAAGTGGCTCCTCCATTGCACATGAAGAGAGATGTAAATGTAAGAGACGGAATGTTTAATTTAAGGGTTCCTGGATTGATATGCCATATAAATGTCAGGCCAAAGGGCGCTCATCCTTGACTTACTCCATTAAGAGAAGAGTGTTTTGGAAAGGACAGTTCTAGATACTTGGTTGGTGTTTGTCTTCCTGAAAAACAGTGCTGGCACATGTTGTTGCTTCCTCCTGGTGGTTTACTAGCTAAACTGTAAATTTCTACTTTGGAGCTGATGCCAAAGAGGCTTTCCGGTTCACTGATAAATGTCTTTTCACTGGTGCTGTGTTTGTCTTCAGGAGACTGTGCTTGCTGAACCTTAGGTACCATTTAAACCCACTTTAAATAGTGAGAATTACAATTCCTACGACTAAGACTAAGCTTTTCTCCCTAGTTTGAATTATCTAAGTCAATTTAAGTCACCGACTATTAGAGAGGGATTGCTGAAATACTATGAAGGGTTTTATCATTTCATAACACTTTTATGGGCTGTGTCAACAGGCAGAGCCCATTTTTATTTTGGAACAGCCCAGCACTTGTCAATTTCACTTTTCCCTCACCAACCAATCAAAATCAAGAATAGGCGGCACATCTGATGTAAGCTTTGTCAACAACAGTGGCGGAGGAGACGCTAGTCAGACTCGTCTTTACGAGGCTACAATTTCCAAGTCTACAGCTGCTGATGCCTTTTATTAACATCATTGTCATGTTTTCTGGGTAATATATTCATGGATTTAAACAAATATATGAGGCATACGGAGCTATTTAAAACACACCTAACAGTCTATACCAAGGGAAGTAGAAGTTAACTTTCGTAACATAGCAACAATAAGTGCTAGTGAAAAGAGCTCGGAAATTGAGGCTATGGGCGCTGCCAGCCATCTGTTGACACAGGAGCTCATCATACAAAATAGCTGCAGCCAGGGCTTGTAATCTTTCAAGCGTAGCGCTTCAATATTTTCCTTACAAATACTGATTTCAATACCTAGACTTGGGTATTGTCAATACACCACATGCCCCTTGTTGGGTGAAAAACAGTGATTGCTGGGTTTCTGCTAGTTCTGACTTAAATCACACTGGTTTTCAACAGTTATTGTCAAATGATAATTTACCTGAAACCAGAGGGGCTGATAACTATTGTATCAGATTTGTACAGTACATTGATTGGTCTACTTGCCAATACTCAATACCAGATTGTAGGCTATATAATGGCAAATACCTCTACTGGTACAGTTATCAATACTGGTATTAGTATTACTGGTAGTTGTATCAGTGTCAGCACAACTCTAGTCCAGAGACAAAAATAAATTTTTGCATTGATATTTCTTTTTCACCTCATGAATTCTATCAGATCAAACTGTTAACAGGCTTTTAGAAGTGCAATTTTCATCAATAACAACTTCTAATATGTTGCCAGTACAAATAGTCATTATGTTTAAAATATTCCTAATTCTATTAAATAACATAACACGTGGTGCCGTCTTCATCTGCTCTTTTTGTAAAGTGACATAAGAAAACTTTTGTTGAGATTTGACGCTGCATATATAAACATTTATTGTTTCATTGATTGATTACTGTGACCCCTGACCTGACAGTGACAATCTGACCAGGGTCCAGGTAGATGCCGTTCATCTGGGCAATAAAGATGGCAGCAACAGCCTCATACAGGGCTGTACCGTCCATGTTGATGGTGGCACCAACTGGGAGCACGAAACGAGTGACTCTTTTGTCAATACCCAGGTTCTCCTCCAGACAACGGAAGGTGACAGGCAGTGTACCAGCACTGGGGAAGGAGCAGAAGCAAGCAGTTTATAATTGTTCAATTTAAACTGAATATCAAGAATCAACTATGCACATTTTGATATTGACCTGGAGGCTGTCCCCAGAGCAGTGATCCAGGCCTGGAAGATGCCCATGAAGAAGGTGAAGGGATTTTTCCTGACGATAACAAAGTAGATGCTGGGCAGGAAGATTGCTCCATGGATGATGAGGCCGACAATCACAGTGATCATATACATCCCCAACTGCCTAGCCACCACCTCCAAATCTTTGATGGAGATGATCTTACCACAGATGAGACAGGCAATACCGAAGGGAGAGTACCTGATGAGATGAGAAAGCTTTAGTATGCCTTCACTGAAGCCTAAAATACAAAGAACATATCAGGACTAATTCTACTTAATGTAGCTGTTCTCTTTAAAATGTAATGACAGGAGAAATAACTTGGCATTTAGAGTTATTTCCAACTCAGGAAATAATGACTGAGTTTCAAAATGGATCAATGAGATTCTTAGGTGATACTAACCACATGATCATGATGACAATTTTCATCACAATCTCATTGAGGATGTTGAAGAATTCAATCATGAGTCTGGCCTTCTCTCCCATCTTGCCCATGCAGATGCCAAATGCAATAAAGAAACCAATCAGACCTGTGACAGAAAATCATAAACGTATCAAACTTTGAATACCAGTGTGGACAGGTGAGACGACTGCCACTTGGGGGAATTAGTCTTATGAGGAGCCTAGAAGCTTTACGTTAACAGCAAATCTTGTTTTGTACACGTTTGCAATAGCGATATTCAATAAGAATGTAAATTCTTAGTTTATCTTAAGCCATTTTAGCAGCATTGTGCTGGAAATGGCAATGTCCATTGGTTGGTCATTTACTTGGTCCAGACTGTAATATCTCAACAACTATGAGATGTATTGCCATGAAATTTGATGGATAATTTCATGATGCTCAGAGAATTAATCCATCTCTGGTACTACAGGCAGAGTCACAGACTCTTTAGAGTCAGTTATATTGTCCAGGACCTACAAAATGTCAACTCATATGGCACAGTTTTCAGTAAAAATGTAGTTTTAACCTGCTGGTTTTGTTAGAGGAATCATGGATCAGCTAAATCATGTATTGGTTCTGGACAATATACCTGACTCTCACAAGTCCATAACTTTGTCTGTGGGATCCAAATCAAGGTTGGCCTAAACATGTATGTGTTTGAATGAAATATATCAACTGTTCAACTGCATTACCATGGCAGGCAATTGAAACAGATTTCTGTTGAAGGCTATATGTTTCATTATAGCCAAATGCATAAAGCTAATGATATTTTCATTACCATTTGCTGTGCTTAATATTTTTTGCTCAATAGCAACTGTTAGCATGTTAAAATGTCAACAAAGATGGTAAGCATGCTAAAACTGTTCCTTAACATCAGCATGTTAGCATTGTCATTGTTAGCACGTTGGCATGCTGCTTTCCACATGTTTTCTGATGTAAGGATGATTAAGTGTTATACTAAGATGGTGAACATGATAAAAACCATAGCAGTTAAACATCAGCATTACCACTATGGGAATGTCTGCACACTGCTTTACCCTTTATTTTGTGCTGATTATGAAATGTACGCATGCTTATGCAAGTTTAAGAAGGGGAATTTACTAAAAACTATACCCAATAAACATTAGCATTTTAGCATTTTCATGGTAAATAGGTAAGTAAGCATGCTGCTATTAGCATGTGTCTACATAGCTACATTTCTGGAGACGCTAACTGTTTATCGTTGGTTACATACCCAGGACATTCATGCCACTTTTGAACTGCAGGGACTTCTTGACCAAAAACTGAGGCTCCTTGGTGATGTTAGCCACCAGGCCCTCCACAGTGGTGGCATTGATGTCTTCCTCGATAATCACCTCAACCTTCTTTGTGACTGTCTGGACCTGAGTTACACGAGAAAATGTTTCAACACTACTATCACTTCTGTATAGTTCTTTCTATTTAAATGCAATCTGAGAATTTGGATTATATCGTTAAAAATAAAAACTAAACCCAGGAACTAAAATAACAACACAAGGATTGTCTTTCTGCTAAACCTCTTGCTAATTTCATACATAAGCTTTTGACTGTCATCCAAGACTAACAATGACTTTCAGATATCAGAGACAGATGCGCTGAACATTTAGCACCTATACCCTGACTATCAGACTAGCATTAAGCTGGGAGTACCATCTTGTCCTCCATTACCTGTTCGAAACAGGCCTGCACCAGGTTCTCCGGGAACAGGTTCCTGATCAGATCGAAGAAGGCATCCAAGCTGGACACCTCGTCATTTTTCTCGCCCTCGCCCAGATTTTCCTTCAATTTGGGGTTGCCAGGGTGGATGACTAGCACCAGGATGACTCCCAGGATAGCAGCAATAATAGTGGTGGACATGTAGTAGACCATGGCTCTGGTTCCCAGACGACCAGAGGATTTGGCATCCAAACCGGAAAGACCTGCAGCCAAAACCTGGTTATAACTTTGACTCATTGAATTGAAATATTGACATAATACCATGAAGCATTACTGCTCTGTGGAAAGATTATTAGAGAGTCAAATTTACATGCTTAATCTTTACTACCTGAGATATTGTTAATGAATACTTTAGCATGAGAATTATAATAGAATGGCTTTTAGTTGTAGCTTTTGTGTTTTGTTTTTTTTACCAGTATCACAGCAATTATAGGTGTTATATATGTCTAAATATGTTCTATTATTATATTAAAATCTGTTTAGATTCAGTCTCACTGCACCTGTGATTAAACTGGAGATGATGAGGGGCAGGATCAACATCTTCAGCATCCTCATAAGGATGTCTCCAGGAAAAGAAATCACCATGACGATGTCTGGGTGGATAGGGGAAGCAACGCGGAGCAACATCCCTGATACAGCTCCCAAGATCACACCTGTGAGGAGAAAACAGGAGTGTGAGCGTGTGAAACTGAGTGAGCAATCCACAAATAAAAGACAATCGAGAATGCAGTCAGTTATAGACAAGTAAGGAAAAGAAAATCACATTTGATACATTTATTTTGGATGAAAGACATTTTTCATAGATGTATTCTGAACTAATAGACACAATCTTTGAAATAAAAACATTTTCTCCAAGTAGACATTTCAATAACAAAGGAGGCCAGAAGCTGTTTTGAGCTGTATAAAAGGCTTTCTGTTACATCCTTAAAGAGGACTGGGTCAAGAAGATAAAACAGAAACCTGCTTAGTGAAAGTAAAGCTTGTGGAGGATTAAGATCAGATCTCTTTGAAGCAGCAAGGAGGAAGGCAGCATGTCAGAGTCCCTGTTGGAAAATCAATAATCTCTGGAAACCTCAAATGTTTTCGAGGATTTTTACATTTCAGGGCAGGGCACGTAAAAGAGACTATAACTAGGATTAAAGTCAGAGGGGAATCGAGTTAGTTGACCTTAATCTCAGGTTTGTCTTGTGACAACTGAGATACTACTTTTATAAGATTGGGTCCTTTGCAAATTGACCTATGTTTGTACCTTAATTTACTCCCTAGAAGTCTGAAAACAGAGACATTTAAAAGATCAGACCCTCCCTAACAAAGGCCCTGTTGACTCTCAACATATGCCTCATCTTTATTTTCATGCCACACAGTGTCTCTGCACCAAAATCAAAGATGACCTCTGTGTGCTCTAACCTCTCTCGCAGCCTGGCCCACCAAGCCTGAGAGTTGGCCTATGTGTCTGTCCATCTCACACCAGACAAAACTCCAGCATGCCCCCCCTGAGGCTGCACTTCCTCTGCCACCGAAACTACTGCCAAAGACAGCCGAGATGTTGTTTAATAACACACTGTAATCAAAACTCCCTCCAGCCTTTTTTTTCTTCTTCTTTTTTGAATTATAAGCTGTCCTCTGTGCTTCAATCCATCCTCTAGTCTTTCAGCATCCTGCGGGTTCTGCACACCCAATGGTTTTGGATGCCACTTGATTTCCTGTGTGCCTTGTCTTTGGCCCATTTGCAAGTTCCCATTCAGGCTCTTATCTGCCAAGTGACAGATGATCAATGATCATGCTGGCTATCTTGCTTTGCTAAAGTCCTGCCAAGTGGGGTGAGATGTACACTTTACACATTCTCACAGAGACACCCATCCATGCAGGATGATACAGATAGTCATACATGACTAAATAAAGTAAACATACTGTATATATATATGCATGTATACAGTTTTAGCAGGTTCACAGCCTATGATTATATAACAGTAAGTGTGAAAAAGATCAAATAGCGGGCAGACCCAATGAAATTATGAATGGTACATGTGTAAACAGCTGATTTAAGACCTATACGCACAAATTGCATCACTCCTTTCTTGCCTTTTCTTCTTTTCATTAAATCCCTCCCTAGGGTGCAGATAGCCAGTGCAATAATCACAATATACTTCAGGCACCAGCAGAGGCTGTTTGGTTGTCCATTCCCGCAGAAAGCTTTCGATAGCAACAGGTGGCCCAGAGCTGGGGAAGGTCAGGACACCCAGTCATCTAACTGTCTGCTACACTGAGCGAGCACAGATGGCATCTTCTCCTCATCTAAAGAGCAGGCTACATAATCAAGCTCAGACTGAACAGAATGCTGACGGGCTCAGTGGTGGTGGGAGTTTATCTTTAGCACCTTCATTATGCCCTAAGGGAAGAAAGAAAGATGCAAAAAGAAATGGGCAAAGAGGTGACTTACCGAGGACAGTGAGTGTGAGCAGAAGGTTCTTGGAAAGCTTCGAGCAGATTTTGGCACATTTGGACTGAGGCCTGGCCTCAATGGGCTCCAGGTGACTCTCGTGCATCCTGACCTCCACTTGTTTAGGCATACTGTTGGCACTGTAACAGAGAGAAAGAGCTCATTAGACATCAATTCATCAAACGCAAAATGAAATACACAGCATTTGGTCATTTCTAAGGGCCCTGGATCTATCATAAAACAAAAGCTTTAAAGATTGACAAATCTGAGGGTATCAGTGGGAATAATGTATCCTAAAACCATGATGTAACTGTAAATGCAAAATGTGAAGTGTGTTGGCAAGCTGTCACTCCTCAACACTCTTCATGGTTACTACGGCATCAAACAGATGGAAGCTGACAGCATGCTGCTGCTTGATGCATAGAGGAAACCTTGGGGGCGATCAGTTAATTAAAAAGTTAGAGTTGGTGTCTATTTCTTTTTTCCTTTATGTTTGTAAAGTTTTTGTAAAGAAAATTGTCTGTTTCTGATTTTTTTTTAAAGTTACCTATCATGCACCATGAATAAAGCATTACCTTTAATAATCCAAAAAAAGTACTGTTATGCTTAATCTACCAACACAGTCCAAGAATTGAAATGTTTTTTAATCATGGAAAAGTTACAATTCAAGAGGATGTTTAATGGCATGTGTTTTCAATTGATTATTTTATATCTAAGCGATGTGCTATGTAGATGATTTTGGACAAAATATCCCTTTCTTCAGATATCCATTCAAGACAAAAACAACAAAAAAGAAGAAGATGGAAGCCAACTTGTCAATGCAAAAGTTAAAGAATTAAAAAGGGGAGGAGCGAGAATATATCCTGTCAACGCCCACGCACCCTACTCAGTCAGGGCTCAGTCACACAGCTTAATTAACTGAATTAAAATGATTTCCCGTTACAGGCACCAGAGAGCTGTTTCCTGCCATCCAGTTGAGGTATGAATTAGTTTGTCAGTGAGAAGAGAGCCAGCTGTGTTTATCACATGCCTGTTAGGCAGGTGTTCATTAACTCCCTCAAAAAGAGTGGATAGGTGGGGGAAGAGAAAGAAGCTTTATATGCAGAGGCAAGAATAATCGATCAAATTATCATCCTAGGTTTGACATATTTTTTGTCTATGAGGAAATGGAAGTTCTTTATGATGCTATTCATCACCAATAAGCCCATAAAAATGTCTGCTCTGATGTATTACAAAGAGAAGCAAAGAAGAGAAAATGTGAGTCTGACCTTTGATCCCACCCCTGCAGTTCATGGCCTGAAACTCACAAACGGAAGCCTCAATGGTGATGTTATTTTTTTTGTCCTCATACCCTCCCCCCTTTAGTCCACGATGAAGTCATAACACTTCATAGATATTAATCATGTTGGCTGTCACGTCTTTTTTTTTCCCTTCAAAAGCCCAAACTGGATCAAAGGCAAGACAGGGAGCTGAAACCAATTGGGGGCCCCATTTGGAAAACTTCCTCTCTTATGGTGCTATTGTTGTTTGGTAAGTAGTCGCTAATAATTCCACAAAGACACACACACACACACACACACTCACACCTCCCCCAGCTTTGTGTATTGCTGCGCTCGGCTATAAGAAGACCAAATGGTCAGCTTCCAGGCACACAGATGGACTGTTCCTATCTCCTCTTATTAAATTCAAAGTGAGGTGTGAAATACAGAAGAAAATAACCACAAACAGCAGGCAAACAGTAGCCCTCATTTCACTCTACCTCTGCTTTGTTTCACCCCAAAGATAAGAGCTGAATGATTTAGTAAAACCCACCAAATAAAATGGCAAAAGAATTACCATTACCATGTAATCCCATTCCATAAGAGTGATGAATCCTGTTAATTAAATTTTCACCCTTTTCTCTTCCTACATTATTTTTAGCTCAGAGAGAGAGAGAGAGAGAACGAGAGAACGAGAGAGGAAGTAGACATCACTCAGGTCGGATATTACTCTGCCATGATCTTCTCATTAGCATTTCTCTCACCAAGTCAGAGACAGATGAGAGTGTGGGGCTTGTGTAACCCCATAAAAGATGAAATTGAAAAATTATAGTAAAGAGGATAAATTACTTCAAAGAGCTATCACTGCACAGCAGCAGCAAATAAAGTGATTTTGATGTTACAGAACAAATTTACTGGGTGAAATTTTTTTTTTTCTGTACATAATTTAAGCTTCCATTAAATGACATAAGGTTAGAATTATTATTTTTCGCCCCTCAGTAAAACTCTGAAATATTAAGCTTCAGCATCCAATGATATAAAAGGATGTGAGCTGCTCCTTAAAGAAACTGTGAAAGCAAAAAAAAAATGTCACTCAGAGCTACTCATAAAGTTTAAATGACTTAAAAGACTGACAAAACCTCATAATTCAAAAGTCAAAACATTCAAACCCAGACACACTGTGAGCAGACACACACACACACACACACACATAGTTTCTTCACTGCAGTCTCTAATGGGATCATCTCATGAAGCGGTTAATCTTGGCCCAGGGCTGACTCAGATTAATTGCATTACAGCATAAACCATGAAGATTTAATGAAGGTCTTAATAAAACAACACCTGGTGTCAAACTAGATTACAGACAATCTGAAATGAAAGATATTCCAATTCTGCCAAATTATAATTCCGAATTTACTCAAGCACAAGAAAAGTTAGATAGTTTTCCTAACAACTGCAGAGGCACTCTAGGATGTTCAATTTTAAAATTGAATCAACTGTTTTGGGAAAAAAAAAAAAAAAATCATGCAAAGTAATGGCAGTTCAATTAATCATCCCCAGAACTGTCAATGTGCTACATGTACTTACTTCATTTCTGCTGGAGTTGAGGTAAGTGCAATATACATTAACAGAATCAAATCTCCAGCCTTTGGTATTTAGAGTGGTCAGCACAAAAAAGGGTTTTAAGATCACAATTGCTCCATCAAAAAATATTTCCAGAAGTATCCTGATAGGGTCCCAGGTTGAAAAGAGAGAAAAAAAGGCAGCTCTGCTGACAGCTAGCAGCTCTCAGCTATCCTCCAGCCTCGCAGCATCCAGAGATCCAGAGAGGAGCGAGTCAATGCAAACCAGACCACAGACCCTGTCATAGCCACAGCAACCTGAAATGCCCCATCCTAAAGTCTGCAAACCCCCTTCAGCCCCCACCCTCTGACTCCACCATCACCACCACCCACAACCAGCTACACCCCAATGCATGGATCATAGATCCCACACACATACACGTCATAAAAACCTAGAAATGAATAAAACCAAAGAAGTGGAAGGAGGAGTCAGTATTTGAGCTTAAGAATCAAATCCCTTAGGGAGCCTCCATTCTCTGGACACTGTAATCCACCTAGAAGGGCATATTCCCAGTGTCACCAGGCTACACTGGAGAGCGAGGGAAAGGCCACCTGATAGAGATGAGCATGATGCTGCCTGCTAATGGCACAATTCGGACTGTAGTGCACTCTGAGAGGGGGATAAAATAATGATGAACAAGAAGATTTAATGTCCATAATGCTGCAGGCTTTAAGCTCCTCCTGATCGACAGCCGATGAGAGGTTAATGTTTATTGCTCTTTAGGATACAACATATGCCACTCTCAAGCAAATATTATGAGACGTACTTAAATTTCTGTAAATGGTGATGTCACACACATCTCCAAAATCAGTAGATTCAAAGATTAATACAAATAAAGCCCTCAGTGAGGCAAATGCAAATTATGAAAGGAGAAAACAGTTCAATATATCTGTCTTTTAAGATGTTTTTTTTGGACACATTCAAGTCCCACACACGTTCTAACATATAGAGTCAGCCACCATTCAATGAAAATCCAAAGCACTGGACTCTACAAATGACCAACGTGATTCATGTAAGGACGGTGTCATGCTGGTTTCCCCTCTAGTCTCCCAGCAGCATGGGATTTCACATCGTATTGAGCAGTATCACATTATTCTAATTAGGGAAATGTGTTGGAAAGCTATTTCCTCTTCAAACAAACGACCAACCGCACAACAAAAGCCAGAGGAATCCCAGCTCTATCGGCAAAGGTTGTGTCATGAGAAATCACTCATCCTAAATCCCTTGACATGTCATACTCATTCAAAAGGGCCCTCTCAGGGAAGAGAGGAAAGTTTTTTAGTGATGGGAGCAAGAGAGTCCGACAGAGAAGAAGGGGTTACAGAGGGGGAGGAAGAGGGACACTAGGGGAGAAGGGGGTACTGGGGTCACAGCAGCACCTCTCAGCCAAAAGAGGGGCCTGCAAGGGGAAGGCCATCCCTGCTCTTGGCTGGTACCATGTGAAGCTCTCTGCTTCCTCTCTCTTCCTTCTGAGGGGCTTTGTTTCACACGCAAACAGTGGCAGTGGCCCCAACTCGCCCGGCCAAGCACCGCATCCAAACTGGCAGGGGTGAGAAAAGAAGGGAGGGGGCTTGAGGGTAGTGTGAGGAAGGGAGGGCAGTGGGCATGTCCAGTATGCCAGTTCTTTCAGGCCACTGATGTCATGCCTGTGCCCACCGTGGGAGAGCAGCGGAGGGACCAAGGCGCCCCTTTCTGTTTCCCCCTCCACAGTCTCTTTTTCCAGGATGAATGCATCTTTCACAAGCGGCAGCCCATTGTGTCCCATAATCGACAGCGATTATCCCGATTTTATGCTGCCTTCCCAGTGCGAGGAGGTTCCCTGAGTGCTGGCATTGAGGGCCGCTGCGATGCAGCAAGGACCACGAGGGGTTGTCCTAGCAACTAACTGCGGCTTAGAGAGAAGGGGTTGAAGGGGGAAGAGGAAGCTTGAAGACACACACACGCACCACCCAGCAAACAAACACAGACTGCGCACATACCATAAAAAAACTTCTTGAAAGACTGGCAAACAAAAAGATACATCAAATTCACAACCCATCCCCTCCCCCCCCAAAAAAATAAAATATATATGGACTTCCCAGGACAATTTTTAACAAGCTTTTGGGGTTTCTGCTACTTAATTAACGAGCTACTGTCATGCTTTGACTCACAATGCTGCTCGACAGTGCACAACATATGCTTAACAAATAAAAATGTTTGCGTTTATAATAGCTTAGAGATGTCCTATTCAGGTTATTTGGATGTGTGATATCGAAGAAGAGGGAGATGTTAATGAGAATACTAGTTTCCCACTGGTCCCTGAAGGGGCCCGATGCCCGTTCTCATGACTGGAGCATCACAATATACTGTGAGGTAAAGACAACTGGATCATGGCCAGGCTCCGGATATATCTGGCCCCCTCTGGGCCTCACAGCCACTTGCCATGCAGTGGGAAGAAACAGGCTCACACATACTGGGTGCATGGGAGCTTTTAAAAAGCCCCCCCACCACCACCACCACCACCACCACCATCACCTAAATGAAGCTCTCAGCAAACACTTCAGGTTGTGCTGTGCATAGGAAGTGGGAGATAAATTCCAGCATTGGAAGAAAGAGAAGCTTTGTCACTCCACGCCTCTTAGTGATGAATCCCTAGATGCTTGTCGGGATGAATGCATTCCCTGATAGCTAGTGATCCAGAGATGTGTGGACTGTCATTCAAATTGTATTAGTCCATCCGCAGTGTATTCTAATGTTCATCCTGTGACACAGAACACATAAGAACCTCTTAGGGCTCTTCCTGCTAAAAAAGCCCCCAACGTAAACTATGCGCAGGGGGCAACAAAAAACATTCCCATAGGTGGGTTTGCCCCATGCTGCCTCAAAATGTTACACAGATTCACCACAAATACCAACCCACAATCAACAATGGATCATCTGTTGTTGCCAACATGCACATGCAACTTCTTCCCAGCGTGATCATCTCTATGTGGCCTATGTTTTTAAATTGAAAAATCCAACCTTTATATCATCAAGTATAGACATTTCATGAAGATATCAACTTTAACAGGCATTCAAAAAAAACACATATCTGTAATGCCCAACAAGGTGCCCATTATATTTTTAATTTGGGTTGTTATGTTTTACTTGTTTCAGAATGAAGAGTCATGAAATCATGTCTCAAGTGATACATTGTTTGAGTTATCCAATGGGAAAGAGGATCCAAAGTCACCAACAGCCATCATCAATTCTAGTAAAATATATAATATGGGTAAGGATGCTATAGTACTACGCTGTGTTTTTCTAAATTGATACAAACCGCTCAATAAAGTTGCTGTAGAAATTCCAAGTTTTGTCTATATCTGGTTTACACCTTATTCTTTGGGTGATTGTTAACGGCTTACTGTGTTTTGCCAGTATGGTCTTGAAAAGTTATCCCTTCCAAACAGAGATTGATTTCAGGATAAGCAATCAGTTCGATGGTCACAAAGCCTCAATCCCCAGCTCCTGTGACCTCAAGTAGTGGTGGCTTTTACCACAGCAGATAAGGGATTCTTGGGTCCATCCAGCACTAAAACCCATGAAAATGTATTACTGTAAATATTATTTATCTTATTTTTACCTCATTTTATTTTATCTATTTTACCTTATCTCTTTTTTACCTTATTTTGGTTGTATTGCACCGCGGGACGGAGACAAACGCAATTTCGATTCCACTGTATGTCTGACATATTTTGAAATTGACAATAAAGTTGACTTTGACTTTGACTTTGATGAGCCTCCACAAGTCATGCAAACCAAGCGTGGGAAAACGGTTAGCATACCGTGGCAACTTAAACCAAATGGTCCTTTAGATTTACGTTTTTAGAGCAATTCTACCAAAGAAAATACATCTTCTTTTTGGTAACTGTCCATCATGTGTGGCAATATGCTAATTGCTTTGTACATTATGTAACAGCAGTAACACTGTAACCCCGTTTATTATTCTCTCATCACATTTTCCATTTTTACTTTTCTGTTTTACAATCAGGGTGCATCAGCATCCTGGTAACGCATGAGTGCCCCACACTGTACGTGCCTGTCCCTCTGCTTCCTCTAAGGTTTCGCTTTGTTTGACACAACTCTTTGTGTCCGTAATGAGGCAGTCATTAGAGAGAGCCTCTGGGAATCCTGAGGCCAGTGTTGTAGTCTGCATAGGTCTCTCAGATGTGACCAGTCCCACTGTAATTATGTGCTAACTGCCTATTATGCTGGAGAGAGGTTGTTGCCGGGCTGAATTGGGTGATTCCCAGTCATTTGGTAAATATCTGCGGAGAGATTTAGTTTGCTTTTTTTTTCCAACCACAGCTCTCTACAAAGGCAAATCACAAAAATGATATCAAATTATCGCCTGCAACATATATTTCCCTTTTCAAATGTTGGTCTCCACTTTTTTTTTAACTTTATTTTAAATTATCCGCTCACATTATGAAATGTCTCATCTTTTTTAACTCACTTTCATCAATCCTGTCCTAAGAGTCTTTACTGTGTCGCTGTGTTATCTGGGATGTCCTTCAAAGCTGCAACCAAAAAAGGATTTTGTTCCTCCTCTTATCGTCTATCCCCAACCTCCATCGTCTGTCAAAAGCTGAACAGATGAAAGGTCAACAGAGAAAGAAGATCATCTATAGTCATGTGAGATTTTCCTTCCCACATCCTTCTCTATTAAAGGGGGGGAGGGGGTCACACACCTATTGCAGACACAGTCATCCCACATCTTTTCCGACTATAACTCCACCTTCGTTCAGGTCGGATACATATGAAGCAATGCTGCTATCATTAGCAAAGTCACATCTGTTTAACAGATCTTGCTATATAGCTGAATACTGCTCTTGATGGCTTTGGTCCGATCCCCACAGGAGCTCATTAAATCTGCCAGTAAGACAGGACCACCCTACCCCCCTACTACAACCACCACTACGGTATACCCGCTACATTGTCGAGATGGGGATGACAGAGTAGGAGAGAGAGAGAGATGTGTAGCAGACTGAGAAAAACACCATATAAAGATAGATGTGTAACAATGTATGGGGGAAGGGTGGAGGGAAAAAAGGGGGGAGGGGGAAAAAGGGAAGGTGTGGCAGATGTAGGTAGGGATGGAGACAAAGGAATGGAATGTGGAAACAGATGAGAAAATAAGTGAAAATGGAGAGAGAGGGTGGGACAAAGGTCAGATTAAAGCAATCAATTGAAGTGGAGAATGAGATTGAGCATGTCCTATGCATACGGAATACA